ATAAAAATACAAAAATTTATTGGTATTTAAGTTTTATTTAAACTTTTAAATAGTTTTAAAGCATTTTGTAAATATCGCACGATTCCTAGTTAATGTATAAATTGGTAGTTATATTATCAAGAAATAAGAATTAAATACCTCAAATTCTTAAAGTTGGACGACTCACATTTCGAATGTAATTTTCATAGAAATTTGCAGAGTTCCGCCGCAGTTTCGAGACTTTTGAGATTTTCGGACTTAACCTAATTTTTTGGTTTTTTTTCCCATTCTGCTCAACAAAACCGCCATAGTTAAATATCATACCAAAATGTCGATCTTGCAGGAATGTGTATGTGGAAAGAATTTCTGTTGACTTTATGGGGGCCTAGTAAAAGAATTCCCTTATGGACTAGTAAATAATCTTAAGGCACTACAGCAATATCATTGTCGCTATTGTTATCGATATCGCACTATGCATATACATGTTGCTATCGATATTTCCTTCATTATTAACGTCTTAGCACTATTCACCTTGTCTATAACCGTATCTTGACTGATGTTATTATCGTTATCGATACAATTATCGAGATAGTCTCAATGAAAATGTAAATAATTTTATCTCATTTTAATTTCTTAAAAATGTGCATTCCTTTATCGATGGCTTTTCAATATCATTATCACTATTCTTATCGATATTTTCAATATCTTAAATATGTGCATTCGTTTATCAGTGTCATTATTGATATCGATGTTATCAAATTTATTTTTTGTCGATATTTCCCCCAATATTATGGTTATCGATATCTTTCTCTATGTCAATGTTGTCATCGTTATCGATAGATCTAACGATATCATGTCAACGAAAATATGAGCAATATAATTTGTCTTCAATGACTCAATGATGTGTATGCGTTTATCGATTTTTACCCTAATCATAATATAACAAAATATTGCGTTATCGATATTTGAAGTCGTTAGCATTACTCTAGTTATCGATATCTATACACATTTATATTGGCCGAAATGTGTGTTGCTGGCTGAAAATAAATGTTTTTCCGGTATTATTAAGAAATAAAAAAAATACTCAGCACTCTTGTATTCGCCGTAGATGCCTGAAAGAGTCTTTTGGGTTGAAGAACTTTCGCGGTAAATCGGCAACTTCTGCAAAATTCGAGTCTAAGAACTTTCATTTATCCCAAAACAAAAGTCGAATCAGGCCCTTCAGAGGCGCCCACATATCAACAGATTTTCGCTTTAATTTCTGCCTTCATTGCAATTTGGTTTCTATTTTTCATATTTCTATATAGTCTTTTACAAATATAGTATATACAGTATAATACAAAAAATTATTAGCACACATTATTTATTGTATTTCA